CCATGTACACTAGGAGAGTGTCCCAGTATTTAAAAGTTTCTCCTAAATTTGCTAACGCACGTATATTTTTATATGATAGGGTGACAAATGAGCACACAGTCCACCTGATGGTAAGTGATTGCTGTGGCACATAGACATCGACGTCTATCCTCGATTACGAACAAAATGCAGATGCGTTGTCATCCGTGAGGACTTACATGGAATCCAGTAGAAAAGGTCTCCGGTTCTCTACACTCACCATACGAAACACAGTAGCATTAAGCTATTTTTTGACGCTGGTATTCTGTGAGAGCGTGGCCCTTCCCCGGTCGAGCCGACCCATTCGTGCTACAACTATACTACTAATATAACTGCAGCATGGCTCTACCACGTATAGAAATTATAAATTATTCTTACTTAATTGATCGATAACGCGTTTCTAAACAATGGATGATTCTTTTGTAATAAGCTCGAGCTTAAATAAAGCAATACATGGTTTTGAATGAGCAAACGTTTATTGTTGAACCGCAGCAGCCGAACCATCCAGAGATGCACGTAGATAACGAAATTTATTAACATTATCTATTTCATCATTTGTATAAATAAGACTGGTAAAGGTATCCGGAAACTCTAGCCAATCTTTAAATGACCTACTAAATCTCGTAAAATCTGTTGTGGGCAATTTAACTAGCTTATGGTGGCTTACTAGCACGAGAAAATTTAATGATTTCTTGTATTTACGCGAACACACACATTGATTAAAACTTCTTTTACTGATTTTATCGCGTTTAATTTACTTTTAATTATTTTTACTTTTAATTCCCGACGTTTCGGTTGCTTTCCAGCACCCATGGTCACGGGGGACTGAGGTGACTCCCGATGTCATTGTTAAACCCAGAGTACCTTCAGCTTTTTATTATTGTTTATGGTCCGATCTATGCAAAATGAACTATGTCTTGAGGTCTTGCAGTGGTATGCTTGGGTGTAGTATTAATTTTATTGATTATAGGGTCCCAAGCAGGTGGTAGTACCCAGCCTCCTTCTCTATTGAAATTAGGATATTTTTTAATTTCAATACCCTCATGTATTATCCTTGGTAGGAATCGGAGTTCTTTCGCGAGGATTTGTGGTCTATAAATCTGATGTAATGTTTGGGGCCGTCTAAGATATGATTACAAACTGCAGACTTCCCAGAACGTTGATGCTTCACAGCAGCTATATGTTCTCTTACGCGGGTTCTAATTGATCCTTTTGTTTGTCCTATATAAGAGAGACCACATTCACAATCAAGCTTGTACACTCCTGCGTCTTGTAGAGTAATATGACACTTGATGGATGATAGGAACTGACTAATCTTCTTCGGCGGCTTGTAGAATGTTCTAATAGAAGCTCCCTTCAAGATGTATATAACCTTTGCTCTCGGGCCGGGAGTAAATATTCAAAGATTTAATAGTGTTTTATAGTGATAAAGCTATCAGTGCCGTGCGTATTCTCTGTGGTGACTCATCCTTCGCTGCGCTTATATGGTCATGCAAGTGCTATGCTCGCATTGTGCGTAAACACACTGTAACAATCGACTGCCGTAGTGTAGCTATCTCTGGTACTGCGTCGCGCGCCTACGACCCCCGGATCGAATCCCAGCATATCGACAAAAAAATTGTCTAGTTCTCAAGAAATTTATTTTAGATGTTTTGAATTTAATTTGACCGAGAAAGACAATAAGATTATCCAAACACAATTTATTAGGATTATTTTCAAATATGGAATCCTTCAAAGAATGTGCGGCTTGTTTGAGCAACTCAAAGGATGTTCCTGTCCTGCTCTGTTCACGCTGTGCTGCAAATTATCATCTCTTGTGCATGAACATTAGTTTCAAAAATTACAACAAAATGTCGCAGGAAGACAAATCAAACTGGATTTGCGTACAGTTCCGCTGCAAGGAACGTAAAGGCGACAACACAAACACTACAGTTCGTAGTAACCCGCCCCCGTCGCCGAAGCCTGATTACGTTACAAAGCGTGGCAAGGCACGCACCACACGCTACAAACTGTTCTTGTCTGTCGGCTAGTAGCATTCGAGACATCATCCGTGAAGAGTTGCAACAGTTATTCAACCACCAGATTCACTCGCATCTTTTAGAGGTCCAAAACGCAGTGTCCTCCCTTGAAGCATCTATGGCTCATTTTTAACGAGGAACTTGAAAAAATCAAGGCTAGCAATGATAAACTACGATCAGAGACAGAATCTTTGCGGGCAAATAATCTATCCTTATCGTCACGAATAGCCCAAATAGATCAACAATCACGCTGCTCAAATATTGAAATCCAGTGTGTACCTAAAAATAGGCAGGAGAATCTTATCAACACTAGTGCAACTGGGCAAAGTTATAAAATGCCCCATCACTGAGTCACACATTTATTACTGCTATCGACTAGCCAAAATGAATAGCTCAAGTCCGCGCCCTCGATTCACCTTAGTGAAATTCGGCAGTCCGCGCTTGCGCGACGATTTTCTCGCTGCGATCGCACGTTTCAACAAAACCAATCGGGACGACAAACTCAATTCGAGCCACTTAGGCATCGGAGGAGATAAGAAGACTGCTATCTACGTCATGGAGCATCTCTCTCCGGAAAATAAGAGCTTGCACGCTGCTGCGTGAACCGAACTGAAATACAAATTTGTATACGTGCGTGATGGTGGGATATACATGCGCAAAAATAAAGAATCAAACTACGTCCATGTAAATAACCTCGACCTTTTGAATCGTTTGTCATGATTACGCTGTATCTGCTATATTTATACTAAAAGGCACTTTTACTTGTTACTACCAAAATGTTTGGGGTCTGAGGACAAAAACTATTGAACTGTTTAATAATGTAATTTGTTGTAATTTTGACATTATTGTTTTCACAGAGACATAGTTGAATGGCACAATTTTTGATAATAAATTATTTGATGACCGTTACATGGTCTACAGACGCGACCACGAAAACAGCGGGTTCCATGGTGCAAAAATGGGAGGCGGTGTTCTCATTGCTGTCTCTAAACGCTTTAAATCGTGCCGTTTGTATGCGCAGGAGTCAGATTATGAAGATTTATGGGTTAAAGTGGTAATATATGATAGCTTTAATAAAGACAGACCTGTACATCTGTGGCGTATATATCCCTCCTCCAGTAAAAATGCATATACTTAAGCATTTTATTAGTAGTGCCAATCGCATATTAGAAAACCACAATGGAAACACTATTATACTTGGTGACTTCAGTTTGAGTAGCTTATGTTGGACTAAGACTGTTAGTCACACACTCAAACCTGCAACATCCAATAGCCTACTTAATAACATGCTCGTTGATTTTATGTCTCTTAATAATCTAGTTCAGCACAATTCCTGTTTTAACAATAAAGACAAACTGTTGGATCTGATAATGAGTACATTGGATATCACCCGCCTCTACGTAAGTACTAACCCATTATCGGTGATTGACCCGTTGCATCCTCCTTTCGAATTATGTGTGGGACTTAAATGTGACAATTATCTCCACACCAAGCACGAACCCAAATTTATGTTTTATAAAGCAGATTTTATTAAAACTGTAAATGAATTGAATACTATATCATGGGAAGACGAATTGTCGCGTTATGAAAACGTAGATGACATGGTAGCACATTTCTATATATAAGTATATAAGTACTTCAATCGATCATAGTTAAACATGTACCCAAGTCCAAACCTCGTAATAATAAGAAATACCCCATATGGTTTTCAGACACGTTAATTAAGATAATCAAGGAAAAATATAAATATAGATCTAAACACCGTAAGTTTAACAACCCTCGGGATTTATTGACCTTTAGAGAACTACTTAGAGATAGATGTACGAAATTACTTAGCCAGAATTATAAAACTTATTTGCTACGACTAGAGACATCTTTGAAATCAAATTCTAAACTACTATGGAGTTTCATTAAACACAAAAGAGGCAGTAGTAGTACTTATACCGCCCAAAAGTCTTCTGGAACTACTCTTGCCACTACTAGCCCGTATATCTGCGAACTCTTTGCTTCACAGTTCTCTTCAGTCTACAATATTGATAAACTATCCATTCCAGACGAGCACTATGCAGATAAATCCCCCGCCTCTAACTTTATTACTAGTATTTCAGTGACTAAAGACCAATTATTTAGGGTCTTAAAGAGTCTTGACTCCACTAAAGGCGCTGGCTCAGATGGAATACCGTCTATCTTTGCTGTAAGATGTGCTGGTGCTCTAGCTTTACCTCTGTCCTTGATAATTAATAAATCTCTTTGTTCTGAAACTTTTCCCAGCGCTTGGAAAACTTCTCTTGTTATACCGATACACAAAGGAGGTGATATAAACTCAGTGAAAAGCTATAGGCCAATATCAATTATTACGGTGTTTGCCAAAGTCTTTGAAAACCTACTGTGCCCTATAATGTCTTGCCATCTATTTTTTTTTTTCGCGCGCGAACAACCGCTGAGCAACAACGTTTGTCATTACTCACCGTGTTTTTCTATAAACTTTATAGTAAAACGTTGCAAAGTGCTAAATATATTAGTTTGGTTTTTATGACTGCAAAGTGACCTTCAAAACAAGGTACAGTTTGTTCCATTCTGACGTGAAATTGAAGAGAAAACAGCGTATTTATCTATAAAATATTTCGCCGACCCTGACCTACCTCACCTAACATCACTTGAATCGTGCAAGTAAACAGGTCTTGTTGCAGCTGCCTGCGCGCATTGTATCTATTACGTCACACGGCCTACCAAGGTACCTACTAACGATACTTTATTGATACGAAAATAAATAGTATTTATTTTTTTTTACATTGTAATCGATAATACTTTGGATTTTGCACCACTATGCTGCGTTCACCATCTAAACCATTCTCATCTAACCCTGATTTGAGCGTAGAAAATGATACACTATAAAATGTGTCACTGCGGAAACGCAAACAACCTGACTGTGAGTTAACGGAATCTTTTAAGCAATTTACACATATGATGCAAAACATGTTCAAAGATTTGAGAGAAGATTTCAATAATGAAATATCAAGCATTAGTGAGAATATCGATTTAATGCGGTCCGACTTGGATACACTATCTGTCATCACGAAGGACATAAAGGGTGAACTTGCGTCTCTGCGTCATGACCAGACTAATTTAAAACAGAAAATAATACTAATAGAGAACAAGCATGATAACTTACAAAGAGGTGTATTGGAGATCCAGAATGCACTGGACTTTAATTGTGACATGAGTGACAAATTGGGACAACGCGTTGAAAGACTAGAGACTGATTGTGTAAAAACATTAAAACCATTGAAATCATATCTTATCTTAAGTCGAAGATTGAAGCTTTGGAGCAGCATGCTAGGAGCCGTAACATTGAGATATGTGGTGTCCCAGAAAAAAGGAATGAAAACTTGATGGAACTAGTGGCAAATATTGGTAAACATATTAATCTATCTATACAGCAGAGAGATATCCTTTCTATTCATCGTGTTCCACAAGCGCAAACCCGTACAAATTGAGCAAAAAATATTATTGTAAAGGTGTCATCACAAATATTTAGAGATAACATACTGAGTACGGCATTTCGGTACGGTATATTGACATTTCTGGTATACCCAAGTTGGTTTTTATGAATGAGCATTTAACATTGGATAAAAAGAAGCTCTTTCGTGACTGATGTGAAACTGCAAAGAAAGAGAACTACCAATACGTTTGGATTAATCACTCTACAATACTTGTACGGGAATCAAACAACCATGCGGCTATCGCTATACGAACTCAGGGAGACATTTCTAAGATTAGAGCCGGTTCTAGTAAGAAACTTAGCGCTATTTCCAAATAGTTTAGCATTTACTTTCTATTCTAAAACAGTGTTTTTTTTTTATTTTTGATGTTATATTTGTTTTTTGTCGTAGCTAATTTGCTATTGATATGGTGTATCAATCTGATCTGACAAGATTAAGTGTATGTTCAGTCGAATTGTTGATAAACTTGTTTCATCGCCTTATTAAAGTTGGGAGTGTATGCAATCATCTATTATGTAAAGTATCATATTGTACGAGGTTCGTATTCATTATATATTTTTTATGCCTAAATGCGGCGTTTTCGTATTATTGCATGGTAATATTAATTTATTATTCTGACTATAAGAATGGTTAATATAGTGTGTTATTATCAAAACTGCAGAGGTATTCGTACTAAGCTACATACGTTGTATATGAATATTTTATCTTATGCATATGACCTTATTATTCTGACGGAAACTTGTTTAATACCAGAAATTGATAATAGCGAATTCATAGATCAGCGTTATACATGATGTGATCGCAATCGTTGCGTTACTGGCAAGAGTGACGGGGGTGGTGTCTTGATTGCAGTTCTGAAGGGTTTAAGACCTATGCCTATTATCCCGGGGTATCAGAACACTTTGTTGGATAGCATTGAGAATGTGTGCGTTTGCCTTCCTAGCTCATGTGGCTTTAAGCGTCATATTAATGCTGCAGTCTATATACCTCCTAAAACTTCAGCTGATACATATTCTGCGTATTTAGAGCTATTAACAACATTTCTTGAAGACACCTCCGTAGTAGGATTTTCATTTTTTGGTGATTATAATTTACCTGAGATCACATGGGTTCCTAAAGATGGATATATTGGAGCCTTGGACTGTAGTGCATTGTCACCGTTATCTACCCAACTTTCTAACTTTATGTCGCTTCATGATGCTAGTCAGTATAATTTCATTAAAAATATGCGGGGTAATATATTAGATTTATTGATTTTCAATATTGAATGTAGTATCACTCCGCTTACGAATACTCTTTTACCTAGGGACAATCATCACCCGCCGTTTAGTATTAATTTCATATTTAATACCATACCATTACTTACTATGCGTCGACAATCTATTTTGAAGTACAACTTCCACAAAGCTAATTATGAGTTTATAATTGAAGATTTGGATAAACTAGACTGGTCTTCATTGCTAAATACGAATGATGTCGAAGAGGCAGTTGAGATTTTCTATAATGTAGTTTTTAATATAATAGACAAACATACTCCACCAGTGTCTTCCAGATCTGCAAGATATCCGGTGTGGTTTACATCTTCCCTAATTCGCATCGCAAAGAACAAACGTAAATCATGGGTTAGATGGAAAAAGTATAAAAATGCATCTGATTACGAACAGTTCTCAATTTATAGGCAACGTTTCAAAATGGAAGCTCGTAAATGTTTCTTTAGATATATTAGCTCAATTGAAAATAGTATTCAAAATAATGTTAAACATTTTTGGTCTTTCATTTCCAATAACAAAACATCGTCTTGTGTTCCCTCGCACATGTGTTATAATGGTTTTGTAGCCGGTGAACCTGATGTAATCTGTGACTTATTCTCTGAGTTTTTCAACTCAGTATATGAGCTTTCAACTTTGTCTATTGAAAATTGGTCTGAACCCTCGACATCTGTTCCTTACAAAGTTCATTTATGCGATCTATACTTTAGTGAAAGTAAGGTCTTCAGAGAACTTCAATCTTTAGACCCGTCAAAAGGTTCTGGCGCAGATGGACTTCCAGCTCTCTTCCTAGTTAAAACTGCTGTTAGTATTTATAAGCCTCTGTGTATTATTTACAACCAATGTATTGCACTGGGATATTTCCTGAGATCTGCAAAAGGGTAAATATAGTGCCTGTACATAAAAACGGCTCAAGGCATGAGGTAGAGAATTACAGGCCAATCTCTATTCTGTCTACCTTGTCGAAGCTTTTCGGAAGACTGGTTCATAATGAAGTTTGTCCAGTTACACATGATAGCATTTTGAAATAACAACATAGCTTCGTAAAGGGGAAGATCCACTATCACTAATCTCATGATTTATGTATCTATATTCTTTTTGATAATATGGACAATAATGCTCAAACGGATGCTATATATACTGACTTTTGAAAGGCCTTCGACAAGGTGGACCATGAACTGCTTTTAAAGAAAATTGCCTATAATGGCTTACGGGGTAATCTATTACGCTGGTTTCCGTCATAAATTATGAACAGAAGCCAAAAAGTAGTTATCAATGGGTTTCAATCTCAGAGTATTCATGTGACGTCAGGCGTGCCATAAGGATCCATCCTTGGTCCACTTTTATTTATCATTTTTATTAATGATTAGGACAGTGTTTTCACAATTGTAACTTTTTGTTGTATGCAGACGACTTAAAATTTTATAAATCTTTAACATCTATCTCTGATTGATTTCTAATACAACAGGATTTGAACAGCATTTAAGCCTGTCCAAATGTATTTATATAAGTTTTTCAAAAAAACATCATATTGTACATTATAGCTATTCTTTTTGTAATGTCTTATTAAACAAAGTCACATCTTTGCGTGATTTAGGTATCATTTTGGATAACAAGTTGCATTTGGATCTCCATATTGAAAAAATTGTTAAAAAAGCCTTTCAAATGTATGGTTTTGTGGTGAGGCCATGTAAGAACTTTAAGAAACCCTGTACATATCTTTATCTTTATAAAACTTGAGTATGCCATACCAATATGGAACCCTCTGTACAATAAGTATGTAGACTTAATTGAAAATGTGCAGCGTAAATATCTGCGATCCATGCACTACAGATGTTATGGTACATTTATGTCATATGATCAGTTGTTGAATAGGTATAAACTGTATTCTATTCAGTTTAGGCGTAAATTCCTTGTATGTATGGTACTTCTAGGTATCATTAATAATGAATTTGATTGTACTGACTTGACAGATTATGTTATATTGTCCCAAGAACGTTCATAGGCGGGAGATGCGCGTTCGTAAGTTGTTCGCAACTGCCAAATGTCGTACCAAAGCGGGTATCCGCTCACCTCTGCGTCAAATGATTGATGTCCATAATGATAACTTTGTTGACTCTGACATATTCCATCTTTCTGAGTTTCAACTCAAGTGTTACATCTGCAATATACTTAACACTCTTTAGTGAGTTTTTAAACTCTTTTGTTACGTTATGTTGCTATTTAGATTTAGATGGATACTTTTTATTACACATCACTTATACCATAGACAATGTTTGGAATAAAATGTTGTGCGTTGCGCAGTTGCGTAGTTCTTAACAACAATCTCTCCTAGGTCATCTTTATAAATATGTTAATTGTAATTATGTTCCGTTAATGATTAACTTTGGTATTACGTGAGTCGCTGGCACTGGCATGTGTACACTTTAATTAAGTACAAACTTTAATATTACTTTAATAAAATTAAACGTATAAACGTCAAAGGTGCTAACATCTTATTGTTGGTGTACCTAACTACTTACTCAATATCAGCTGTTGTTGCTTATTTGTGTAAGATTATACTATGTAGTTGTTTGCTATTCCTAATAAAGAGAAAAAAAAAAGAAAAAAGACACTTAACTGCACCAGAACAGCACGGTTTTATGAAAGCCCGCTCTACCACGACAAATCTGATATCCTCCGTTGAAGGCCTGCATGCGCAGTCTTTCGATGTCATATACACTAACTTTAGTAAGGCTTTTGATAAAGTCAATCACGATATGTAATTGCACAAATTATCATGTGTCGGTATAGGCGGTAATCTCTTGCGCTGGTTCAGATCTTACCTAACCAATAGACTGTCTGTGATGGTAGCAGGGGGGATTTAAACCTGGCTTTTTACTGCCTTTTCCGGAGTTCCTCAAGGATCCCATCTGTGTCCCATGCTGTTCAACGTTTTTATTAATGATATCGGTAAGTGTTCAAGTCCAAAATTCTAAGTTTTACATGTTCGCCGATGATTTGAAGTTTTTTAGATCAGCAAATTCATTAGAGGATGTATTGTTGCTTCAAAATGACTTGGACAATCTAGTATTATGGTGCAAATCGAATGGTATGAGCTTGAATATTGACAAATGCCATGTGGTATGCTTCACTAGAAAAAAGCTCTCAGTGAGTAGATATTATTGTATTGACGATGAACCATTAAAAGAGGTTGATCATATTAGAGATTTGGGTGTAATTCTCGATACCAAATTGCGATTTAATTTATATATAGATATCATTACTAAAAAAAGCTTTCAAGACCTTGGGGTTTGTCGTACGTACCTGTAGGGAATTTAAAAATCCAAGCACAAAAATCGCAATCTATTTGTCACTTGTGCGTAGTAGCTTAGAATACTGCAGCGTGGTGTGGAACCCGCACAACGACGTATACAGAAAGCGTATAGAAGGTGTACAAAAAAGATTCCTCTGGCACGTGACTTACGGTTGTAATTTAGCAAAACTTTTGCCTAGCTATAATCATCGTTTGAAATACTTTTATATGATACCTCTCGTCGAGCGCAGAGCGATGTCGGACATCTTTTTCCTCTACAAAATGATAAATGGTTACATCGACGCTCCAGACGTTATATCTCATATT